TATTGATTTTTTACAGAGAGGAAAGGAGATGAATAGAGAGTTAGAAACATCCATCAGCTGCCTCTTGCACACCCCTTACTGGGGATGTGCCCGCAACCAAGGTACATGCCTTTGACCGGAATCGAACCTGGGACCCTTGAGTCTGCAGACCGATGCTCTATCCACTGAGCCAAACTGGTTAGGGCTGCTCATAGATGTTTACAGCAGCTTTATTCACAATTGCCCAGACTTGGAAGCAACCAAGATGTCCTTCAGTAGGTGAATGGATACGTAGAAAGTGGTCCATCCAGACAATGAGATATTACTTAGTGATAAAAAGGAACGAGTTATCCTGTCATGAAAAGTCATGGAGGAACCTTAAATGCATATGACTAAGTGAAAGAAGCCAGTCTGAAAAGGCTATGTACTGCATGATTCCAGCGGTAAGACATTCTGGAAAATGCAACATGACGCAGGTGGTAAAAAAAAGGTCAGTAGTTGCCAGGGGCCGGGGGAGAGGAGTGAAGAAGCAGAGGATTTCTGAGGCCGTGGGGCTCCTCTGTATGATACTCTCATGGTGGATACGTCATTAGACCTTTGCCCAAACCCCAAGAACGTACACCGCCAAGCGTGAGCCCTCGGGTAAGCTGTGGCGATGATGTCAATGGAGGTTCATCAGTGGTAACCGGTGAATCACTCTGGTGGGGATGCCTGAGTGCGGGAAGTCTCTGTGCCTTCTGCTCAAGCTTGCTGTGAACCCCAAACTGCTTTTAAAAAAATGCAAAGCTTATTTTTTTTAAAAAGCCATCAGCACATCTCATGGTCCGGTTGTCACCAGCGCTGCAAAAGTTACCTGCTGTCAGCGGGGTGCCCGCCCTCAGCCTGGGCGTCAGAGAGGGAGGGACATGGATGTTTCGACTCACACCCATGCCTCCCTGAGTCAGAGAGGGAGCAGGGACAGGGGCCGGCAGTCACGGGGTCTGGCTCCTGCGGGCCCGGGCTCGGGGACACGCCCATCCGCCAGCTGCCCTGGCAGCTGGGCCTCACGCCGAGAGCCTGCGGAGCAACCACGAGCTCTTGCTGTTTCCCTTGAAGTCTCCCACGCAGCAGCCCGTGGGCTGTTAGACGTGGAAGCCAGGTCAGGCCACTGTCTGTGTAAACCTCTTATGTTTACATAAACCTCACGCCAGGCATCAGATCAAAACAACGACCCTGGCTGCTCCCCGGCCCTCTCTGTCCCCAGCGTGTGTTCCTGATGTCCCTGGGCATGGCCAGCTCCTGCGGCCACCGGTCTCCTCTGCAGGGACCGGTCTTCACCTTCATGGGAATGTCTCTTCCTCAATGTCACCTCTTCAGGGAGCCCCTTAGCCACACTGTCCTCTGTCTGCTCTAATTCTTCATTTAGTTTCTTTCTTTCTTTTTAAAATATCTTTTATTGATTTTTTACAGAGAGGGAGAGGGACAGCGAGTTAGAAACATTGATGAGAGAGAAACCTCAATCAGCTGCCTCTTGCACACTGCCCAATGTACACCTCCTGCAACCAAGGTACATGCACTTGACTGGAATCAAACCAGGGACCTTTCAGTCCGAAGGCCGACGCTCTATCCACTGAGCCAAACCCGTTTCAGCTGTCATTTAGTTTCACATGACCTGTCTTGTTTATTGCTTCATCCCTGACTGTTAGGTCAGAGCAGGCACAGGGTAGGAACTGGACATAGAGATGCTGAATGAAGGACTCAGCTGAGCTCTTCCGGTGAGCAGGGGTGCCCAGGCAGGAGGGATGAGCTTTATCGTTAGGAGCTGAGGCACAGGAGATCAGTCCTGGCCCTGGCCTCACGTTTCCCGTGCTGCAGGCACAGACTGCGGAGGAGGCCGGGAGGACATTCCTCTCCCTGATCCATAGCTCAGGTCCTGCAAGAGCTTGGAGGCGGCAAGATGAACTCCTGACCTCCCTCTGAGCTCCAGATACGGCCACTCCAGTCCCTGGACCACATCACATCCAAAGCTGAGTGCGTCGCTGTCAGCTCAAACCAACTTTTCCTCCATGTCCCCTCCAAGTGACCTTGCACTCCTGTGGGCCATGTGGCCGTGTTTCCCCACCCCTTTCATTCCTGCGGCTGCAGGCTGAGGACCATCACTCACTCATTCTCTCTCTCTCTCTCTCTCTCTCTCTGTCTCTCTCTCCCTCTGACTATTGCCTTCTATCCGGCCTCCCGACTTTCCATGGCTAGTCCTGGCGACTGAATCTGGCAAAAGGGAAGGGAGGGGCTCCCCTTCAAGCCCCTCTGCCCCTGGCGGGAGGGGAGTAGCCCCCAAGCTCCAGAGGCCCTCGGCTTGTATCACAGACTGAGCCGTCCCAGCGCACTGGCTTAGGGAGAGGCATCAGCTGCTGAAAGGCCTAGACCTGAACTGTCCACCATAGTGGCCACCAGCCATAGGTGACTGTTCATATTTAAGTTTAAACCAATTTTAATTTTTAAAAATTTAAATATTTTTATTGATTTCAGAGGGAAAGGCAGAGAGAAGAAGAGAGAGAGAGAGATATATCAATTGCTGCTGGGCTGCAACCATGGCCAAGCCCCAGGGTCCCCGCCTCATGGGGCCAGCGGGCAGAAGGAGTGTCCCTTAGACAGATTTATCCCTTAGACATTTGCCGCTGGGGCCCCTGGCCACTGCCCCCCACCCCCCCAGACCTCCCCAGCGGACTCCTGTGAACCCCTTGCAGACACTCTGGACTCCCCAAGTTCAGAGACGGCCTTAGTCAATGAAGAGCAGAAACCTCGTCATCCTCTTCCGAAGGCCCAGGGTGCCTTTGGGATGCCACCCTCTCAGCACTGCGCGGGAGCCTCAGAAGAAGGACCAGACCCCGAGCTGGGTTTAGACATGGAGGCCCTGGAAACGGAGGATGGCAGGCAAACCGCGTCAGATGCTCAGAGCGCGGGCAGGCCGGGGCGTGAGCCTCAGGCGGACCTGGAGGGGACGCACCGACCTGCCCTCGGGGACTCCCCCTACCGGTGAAAATGCCGGGAGGAATGCCCCTGGCAAAGGGGAGCCTGCAACCTCTCAGAACCGCCCAGCTCTGGCGTCTTTCTGCAAAGAGAGAAATGCAGCCAAGAAAACAAAAGAATGGGGCTTTCCCTCCGCAGAACGAGCCTAAACCCGCGACAGCTAACACAATCACCTGGGTCCCAGGCTCTTCTGAGAAATGAGTGGGCCCTCTCTCCCGCTTCCCGGCAGCCTCTCCCTCCCCAGCTCCTCCCCGCACCCCGGGGGGACCTGGGAGCACTCAGGGCGCCCTTCCAGGCCCGGAGGCTACCCTGTGGGTGCCTGCCCCACCTCCCTCCCACTGTCTCGCCCAGGCAGCAGGCAGGCAAGGAGTGGGATGCCCTTACCTGGGGGACAAACAGCCCCGAGAAGGTGGAAAGCCCTGCCTCTTCCCAGCCTCCCGGCCTTCCCAGCCCGGCCTGTCAGACGAGGGAGAAGCAGGTCCGTGGCTCTCCCAGCAGACAGCGGGAGAGGCAGCTCACAGCGCATCGTCTCCCCTCTGCCGCCCCTGCCTCCTCTGTCACCGTGGCCAGTGCGGAGGGAGGCGGGAGAGGCTGCTGCTCGGCCATGCACCGAGCAGACATGACGTGAACGTGGGCCGAGGGAAGGGAGCTCAGGGCTCCGTCGAGGCGGCTGCATCGACCACTGCTTTCAGTCTTACTGCTCACGCCTGCAGCCTTCCGAGGGGCCCAGTGTGGCCTTTCCTATGCAGATAATTTACCCAACTGCATCTCACGCTTTGTTTGTTTCTGTCCAGACTGGTGGTGACTGAGGGGCCCCGTGTCTGGGAGGCCCACTCTGCTGGAGGGCACCCCTGAGTCCAAGGCGGGGTGGGTGGGTGGGGGGACATTGACAAGGGGAACTGTCTTCAAGGGACTGTGGTTGTGACTGTCCTCAGAGCAAGTATAAACGCGTCTGTCATAATCACAAGGGACCCACTTGGGGCTTTTCTCTGCGCCCAGAGGGGGTGCAATTGTGTCATGATCCAAGGCCCGCCACGAACACGGCTGGGAAGACTCCCACTGCGAGCCTCGTTAAAAACATAACATTTTGACCCGGTTGGCATGGGGCAGTGGTTGAGCATCAACGTATGAACCAGGAGGTCACAGTGCGATTTCTGGTCAGAGCACCAGCCCAGGTTGCAGGCTCCATCCCCAATGCAGGTGGCGACGGATCAAGGATTCTCTTTCATCATTGATGTGTCTATCTCTCTCTCCCTCTTTCCTCCTCTCTGAAATCAATAAAAATGCATTTTTAAAAACACATTTTGTATGTGCAGGCTTATTCCAAAATTTCATCTGAACACCCACCATTAATAAAATGAAACATATTATCAGTGTCAGTGTATCTGATGCACAGTGGTCATGTCCAAATGAAATCTTACTCCATTTGAGCCTAATTTCAAGGTGCTTGTGGTCCTCCAGCATTCGGACAGAATGCCAGAGAGGATGGTCACGCTGTCCCTGGTTACGTGTGGCTAGTGTGACTAAGGAACTGGTTACATTTGAATTAATTTTAAATTAAAGAGGCACACAGGGCTACCAGTTACTGTATTGGGTGGCACGGCTCGGTGGGTTTAGGGCAAGGCCAAAGGGTCCCAAGGAGATGGATAGCTCTCGGGCAATGACATCAGCGCCTGAAAGAGACCTTACAGATGCACCTTCACCAGCTGACGGCTCGGCCCTCACCAGGACTCTCCACTTCCCTTTTCCTGTCAGTAGCCGCACCGTCCAGGAAAAAAAAACAACGCTATTCTTGCATGCTCAGCCTGTGCGTGCGTCGTCAGAGATGGTTTGAGCTTAGCCCCGCTTCCCCTGGCTTTTCATTTCTGGTTGCAAACCATCGGGTGCCGCGAATTGCTGAAAGCTGCAGCTGGTGACACCCCCCTCCCCACCCTCTAGGCCCACCCCACCAGTGACAGCACACACAGGGGCGGCCTGGCTTCCTTTGTGCTGTTTGCACCGGGTGGCTGCCTGCTCAGAAGGCTTGCCTCTCGTCCCAGGCAGACGGCAAGCCAGCCCCTCCCAGGCACAGCTGGCGGCCCCTTCTCCCCGCGCCTCTCTCGCATGCTGCCCTTCGAGGTGAGTACCTCCCTTCGTCCTTCTCTTCCCAGGGCCACCTGTGCCCTCAGCTGTGTGTGGTCACAATAGCTCCTGAGACCCAGGCTTTGGCCTCTGCGTTCAGTGGTCATGAGCACCAGGCTTCCAGGGTGAGCGATGGCCTGCCTGAAGGTGATGCGTTGGATAGATTGCAGCCCATACCCACTCGGATGCTGTAGCTCTGTGTTCACTTGGCATTGAAAGTGGCCTACGAGGGACTGTTCACTAGAAAGCAAGACAGAGCATTGTGTGTGCCGTCAGATTCCCTCCCCATTGAGTGTGTGTGTGTGTGTGTGTGTGTGTGTGTGTGTGCGCGTGTGCGACGCGTTGCAGAGAACCCTCTAACAGGCGGCGTCTGGGAACGTTAACGGCGGCTACACTCCACCAGAGGCGTCCGTGTTTTCATTTCCTTCACGACGCAGCGCGCCTGCTTTGGGGGATTTTCCTGGGACAGTTGTGAAAAGGCTCCTTTACGATCAGAAATCAGCCACGCTACTTTCTTTGCAATGACTCATCAAGGACTACTGTTTTGCCTTTCAAACCTACCTCTCTTGAGCGCTTCATCAGCTGGCGCTCCCCGCCCCTCCGCAGGGCAGGTGAGCTGGGCTGAGTGCTGGCCTGGGGTGGGGTGCAGCCGGCAGGCCCCACGCCCAGCTCCTCCAGGATGGAACAAGCCAGAGCTAAGGGAAGGCTCTTTCTTCCAGGATGTCTGTCTGTCTACTCAGGAGCCCCACGCACAGGCTCCCACTGGGAGCCCCCGGGGGCAGGTCAGTGCCTGTGGGGACTGGGATGAGGGTGGGGGCGGGGGCTGACCCTGTAGCAAACTGGACAAAGACAGGCCTTTATACAATAGAAAGCCAGTGCAGGGCTTCAAAGGCGCAGAGTACCTCGGGGATCGGAACGGGAGATGTGTGCTCCGGTAGCAGCCCCGCCAGCTGGGAGTTCCTTCTTTGGATGAGCTTTGCAAACAGGTCCACAGAGCAGAAGAACAATGGGGTCTCTCTCTGTCTCTCTCTCTCTCTCCCTCTCTTTTAAGTGAAGCTGACAGGTTATTTTTATGATAGCTCTTCAAATTTCATGCACAAAGTAAAGGAAAAAAACAAGAGTCTCACTTTCCACTGGCCCTCATTGTTCCAGCTCCTTCCAGAAAATGTTTCAGTGCGAATCACCTGTGAGGTGTGTAACCTTTTATATCGATTTGAAAAGATCACGCAACGACATTCTACCTTGAGCACTTTTCACCGAATCACCTTGCTGAGCTCTGTGTACACTGTGAGGTCTCCCTCATTCTATTGATTGGCTCCGGGTGGTTTATTGAACAGATGCATCGGAATATGACCAATATCTGGGTAGTTAGGTTTTTTCTAGGTGTTTTTGTTTTTTGTCCTGGGGGAAATGCTGGCACACGGCCTGAGCATGGCTCTGTGTTCTTTTGAGATCAGACCAGTAGGTGTGTTCCCGGCAGATGAGCTGCTGAGTCAGAGCCGTTGTGCTTTGTAATTTTGACAGACACGGCTTCACCCTCCAGAACATCACCTACACTTACACTCCCCACAGCCGCGCCGAGGCCCGACCCGAACTCCCATCAACGCCTTTCTCGGCTGTCCCTATGTGCAACCCGAAACAGTGATAACCAACCATAACAGAGGCCCAACGACAATCAAAGACGTGGCTCTTCACCCGGCCGGTGTGCCAGCCATTCACCTCTCCTCTGAGGGAAGGGTTCCTATTCCACAGATCCATCTGTAGACTGACGTGGGGGCTGTTACAGATAAAGCTGCTATGAGCACTGGTCCTTAATGTTTGTGTGGATACGGTCTCGCGTTTTTCTTAGGCAAACACTTAACGAGCGGGATGGCTAAGCACACGGTGAGTGTAGGCATGTTTCATTTTTTTAAAAAACCGACAAATGGTTTTCCAAAGCGGTTGTCTCACAGGGTGTGCACTGAAAACCACTGGGCTTTCAGAAAAGCACTGGGCTTTCAGAAAAGCAGGACGAGCCGAAACCAGTTTGGCTCAGTGGAAAGAGCATTGGCCTGCGGACTGAAGGGTCCCAGGTTCAATTCTGGTCGGGGGCATGTACCTTGGTGGTGGGCACATCCCCAGTAGGGGGTGTGAGGGAGGCAGCTGATGGGTGTTTCTCTCTCATCAATGTTTCTCTCTCCCTTCCTCTCTGTAAACAAAATCAATAAAATATATATATTTTTTAAAAAAGAAAAGAAAAGCAGGACAAGTCACGGTGCTATGTTATAAAAAGGACACCAGCAGGTTAGGGTGGGATCGATGAAGGAGAAGGTTTCCTTCTAGACCTTGGGTGTGGTCCTGGGCACCACAGAGAGAGGGCCCGCCCGCTCCGGCACAGGCCTGCCCAAGGGAGCCAGCCGGACTGTGGTCAGCCGAGGCCTGAACATGAGGCCACTACCTTTTCTTTGGGAAACGACCCTAGGACTTCCTTTTCGGGCTGGAGTCAGGATCCAGGGAAAACAGGGCCCGTTACCCTTCTCTGGGCGGGTCCAGCAGCGTGCAGGCAGGTGCTGGGGCACTGGGCCCCCAGGAGAGGGACTCTGATGCTGGCAGATGCCATGTTCTTGCCACCTGGCTACCCAGAGGCCCTGCCCCTGCGGAGTCTGGGCCCGAGCATTCCCAAGTCACCCACTGTCTTGCGGTCGGCAGGCTGGTAAAATGGGGAGAGGGGAATGGGGGTGGTGGTGGGGGGAGCAGGATTCAGGCAAACAGACTCCAACGGAGAAGCTGAGTCAAGAGAAGCTGAGCGGGTGGACAGGACGGCTGGAAAGGGAAGGCCTGGCCCAGGGCTCTCGGAGGAAGGTTCCGCTCATGTCTGCCTGAACCGCCAAGATGATTCCGGAAGGTGGACTCTGACTGACATCGCACAGTGGGCACCCCAACCTTGCTGTGGTCTTTTTCACAAGAAAAACAGATTTAAGATGGAACCTCCGTCCTTAGGTGGTGTCACTGCTCCTTGACAAGCACTCTTCTGATCTTGCCCTCTCTTTCTAGAAGCAGCTTGCCTCTGCCGCACCATGACACCCCTAGAATTCACAGTGAGTACAGCTCCTGAAATGCACTCCTGGCTTGCCTTTTTGGGGGGTGTGGGAAGGAATCCTGGGTGGGGGAGGGGTTTCTCTGGGAGGTTTTCCTGGGTAAGATCCCTGCTGAGCAGCGCCCCATAGAGGCGGTCAATGCACAGTGCAGAGGGCTTTACAAACGTGGAGACCCAGAAGCCCTTTGGGATATGTTTTTTAAAAAAGAAAAGAAAAGCAGGACATGAGAGAGGAAAATGCAATTTTAGATTTTTGCTCCTTTCCACCCTCCCTCCCTTTCCCAAGGGCTCACGGCTCAGGGTTCTGATCACCAGCCCTTATCTCCACTTCCCCTGGCAGAAGTTCTGGACTGGCTCTGGGCCAGAACCCCTTGCAAACTATAAGAAGGGGTGTTATGTGAGCGTGCATGTGTGTACATGGGTCTGAACAATATGTGTATGTGTGCATGTGTTCATATGAACAAGAGGGAAGGCATGTTTGTGCATATGTGAGTGTGCAAATCTATGCATGGATTGTATGTGTTTGCATGTGTGTGTGCTTGTGAGGGCCTGCGTCATGGAAGTCGGCCCTGTACACTGCTCAGGGCCCTGTACCTAGAGGTGCCACGTGCGTGATTGAATGCTCTACTATTTTTAAAATCTTAACGAATTTTGAAAAAGGGACACTGAAAGTGGCACAACCTGTCCTGGGACTTATGTATGCGCATGCGTGTGAGTGTGCATGTGTGCGTGCACACATGCCTGTACATGTGTGCTCATATGTGTGGATACGGCTGTTGCTGATGGAGCAGAGGACCCACAGCTCTCAGAAGACTCAGAGGGATCTGCAGCCAGAAAAGCTGAGACTCTGAGGACCTTTTTGGGGAGGACAGAACAGAGAGGAGAGGGGGCAGCCACATCATTCAGAGTGTGATGACAGATTGTGGCCATCAGTGGTCCCAGGGGCATTACCCCATAAGAGACCTGTCACGTGCTCCTGCAATTGCTCATGCCTTGTGTGTGCCCTCCATGGGAAGCTGAGTTCCAGGAGAGCAGGAACCGTGTCCAACTTATCCACCTCTGTATCTTCAGAGCATCTGACATACCATAGGTGCCCAACAAACATTTGTTGATGAAATAAATCTGTTATGATCCAAGCAGATGCTCTCAGGTCCCCTGTTTTCCACGTGTACATTTCTTTTGTCTTATCAGAGGCTTTGGGGCTTGGAAGGGTCAGGTACTCCATGCCTCTGCTATCAGACAGAGCCTTCAAAAGCGTGTCCTTGACCTAATGCCGCCTTGTTTCTCCTTGCAGAGTCCTGTCCCCAATCTGTCTGATGACTTCAGCTATGACTCCACGTCTTCCATGGATGACTATGAGAACTTCAACTTGCTGGACTTCTACTGTAAGAAAAGCAACGTCAGGCAGTTCGCGAGCCACTTCCTCCCTCCCTTGTACTGGCTGGTGTTCATCGTGGGCACCGTGGGCAACAGCCTGGTCATCCTAGTCTACTGGTACTGCACCAGGTTGAAGACCATGACCGACATGTTCCTGCTGAATCTGGCCATTGCCGACCTCCTCTTTCTGGCCACTCTTCCCTTCTGGGCCATCGCCGCTGCCGACCAGTGGAAATTCCAGACCTTCATGTGCAAAGCGGTCAACAGCATGTACAAGATGAACTTCTACAGCTGCGGGCTGCTGATCATGTGCATCAGCGTGGACAGGTACATCGCCATCGCCCAGGCCATGCGGGCGCAGAGCTGGAGGCAGAAGAGGCTTCTGTACAGCAAAATGGTCTGCATCGTCGTCTGGGTAATGGCGGCCGCGCTCTGCATCCCGGAAGTCCTGTACAGCCAACTCAAGAGGGATTCCAACGTCACCGTCTGCACCATGGTGTATCCTCGTGATGAGAGCACCAAGCCGAAGTCGGTCGTCTTGACCCTGAAGGTGATCCTGGGGTTCTTCCTTCCCTTTGTGGTCATGGCTTGCTGCTACACCATCATCATTCACACGCTGACCCAGGCCAAGAAGTCCTCCAAGCACAAGGCCCTAAAGGTGACCATCACCGTCCTTACCGTCTTCGTCTTATCTCAGTTCCCCTACAACTGCATCCTGTTGGTGCAGACCATCGACGCCTACGTCAGGTTCATCTCGAGCTGTGCCCTCTCCATCAACCTCGACATCTGCTTTCAGGTCACTCAGACCATCGCCTTCTTCCACAGCTGCCTGAACCCCGTCCTCTATGTGTTTGTGGGGGAGAGATTCCGACGGGATCTCGTGAAGACCCTGAAGCACCTGGGCTGCATCACACAGGCCCAGTGGGCCTCCTTTGCCAGACGACAGGGTAGCTTGAAGATTTCCTCGGTGCTGCTGGAGACAACCTCGGGGGCCCTCTCCCACTGAGGGACCTTCTCGCAGGGGGTAGATGGTCCCTTGGGAAGTGACAACAAATACAGATACAGCTTCCCCACTGATGGGACCGGAGGGACACCACAGAAAAAAAAGGAAGTGAGAGAGAGACAACTCAGAAAGGGATAATTGGAACATTATTAATTTGAGTCAGAATTCACCAAGCCAGAGGTTTCAGAACTGCCTCACCATCCCGGGAGACTCGCTGGCTGCTGGCTGCCATGCCTGTGATTCCCAGAGAACTGATGGACAGCATGCAGACTATCCCGGCTCCCCCGGGCCCAAGCATTCACGCATCTGACCTCAGGAGGCATCTGAGATTCTCAGAGCGCTGCCGGTTGCCATGGTTTCAGTTCTGCAGCCCCCCCCCCCCCCCCTTCCGAAGCAGACACCGAAGCATTGGCCCCTGCACGGTCCACAAAAGCACAAGGTTTCACAGACACGTCCATCTTTGGGGAGTTTCTACCCTGGTTTTGAGGCTGATGCCTGTGCCAGGTCTTAGAGTCTTAATCTAGAATCTTTCCAGACAACCTCAGATCCAGTCCCCCGGGTCTCCTTGATCTGCTCTGGGCCAGGGAGGGTCCTTGTGCCTGTTTAGACACGATCAGCAGGACTGGCCACTGAGCCGCTGGGCCACTGACCATTCCAGCAAGTCGTCTGGGTTCAGCTGGCTTCCATCCCATTTCTGTGACCTGCGGAGGCCCTGCGACTCCACACCTGCCTCAGGGCTGATGTGGTGAAGAGTCGGCTTGCCCCCGGGGTCATGGAAACGGTCTCCCCAGCCCGTGCAGGGAGGACCAGCCCCGGGTAGCCCCCTGGGCTCGCTCAGCTGAATGGCTTTTGTGAGGGTCCATGTGGCTCCCTATAAATGGGCTGGTCCATCGGCCTCTTGTTGCTGAGGCTGCTGGGAGGGTATCTGCCTCCATGCTTCTCTTTGCTCATAGAGCTAACATGTTTAAAAGCTTTCAACTTAGACATTAGACTGGAAAAAAGTAATATAGTAACTTTTTTTTTTTTTTTTGCTTTGTGTCTTTTAGCTATTTGGCAATTTGATCACATTTGAAAATATTTCATATATTAGAAAAATGCTTACATTTTTTAAAAATTACTTTTCAATTACAGTTGATATACAATATTATGTTAGTTTTAGGTAAACTAGAGTTTCTAATGTACATTTAAAAATATCTATTACTGGCCATTTTCTTCACTCTGTCCCTATATTTTAAATATGTACAACTACAGAGAAAAGATCCATACGAAGAGTGTGATGAGGAAGAGGCTGGGATAAGGAAAAAGAATCTTCAGAAGGCCTGGAAATGATGTTGGCTGACCCATTTCTCTCTCCTCTGGTCAAACTCACTTCCCAGGCTTCCCAGTTAGTCCCGGGAACTGCCAACGCCAAGGACTGTTAGGGCAGCTTTGCCTAAGTCGGCAGCTTTGCCAGGGGCCTAGAGGAAGCATCTGATTCTCCGTGAGCTGGGACTTACGGTAGATTCAAGGCCAGGCCATCCCTTCCAAAGGGGACACAGAAGACTGTACCCTGCCACATCCCCCTTCATCTCCTGCCCGCTTCTAAACGCGGGTTAGTGGGGAAATGGGCAGAAAACAGGCAGCAACCAGGGAGCACAGAGACCGCTAACCCAACCCGGGTGGGGCAGTTGGTGGCGAATAAGCATTGGCCCCAGACCAGCACATCAACAAAGGGCCCCAGTCCCACAAGCTCTGCTCACAGTCAGGGGGAGGGTGACTTTCTCCAGGTCAGTCTATGGGCAAGCCTTTGGGATGGCCACCATTCCCGGGAGACCCAGATGTCGTTTGAGGAACTCAGAAGAAGGAGTAAGCATGGGCCAAACCTAAATAATAGCGTGCAGGTGGGCAAGGAGAACACAACTTTTCTGGGTCCTCTCGATACTGTGGTTCTGGTGTGCCATGTCATGGGCCCCGTGGAGCTGAGGAGGGGGGATGGGATGGGGAAGAGGCTAAGCCAGGAGTGAGGTCATTGAATCTCCTCTCAGTCTAGAGTCTATACTGCGATGGCGACTCGGTAGGAGTCTAGAGGTAAATAAGACGTTGGCCAGTGTAGGCTGGTTGGCAAAACAGTGCCAGGAGGCCCGCCTTCCCCTCTGGTTTTGAAAAAAGAGAGGTGGGAACAGCACAAGGACTACGAGCCCTATGTTGAGCCCTAACACATGTCATCACGCCCAGTTCCAACGGCTTCCTTGAGGACCTCACTGTCACTATGGACTGTCCAGTCCTAACAGCCACACTTAGGATGGAAGACATGCGATGACTGTGTTATGCTTTAAGATTTGTTGTTGGCCAATTGCCTTAGTTTTTAAGTGGTTGCATAAATAGGACCATTTTACATTCCAATTAAACTAGGTTTCAGGGACAGACTCATCTTAAGATAAAAAGTTGGGAGATTCCACATGGGGAAATCCAGGAGGAAGTTGTGATCATCCAACATTTTCAGAAAACATGCTGAGAGAGTACTTTTTGAAATAAAGGAGTATTATAGTATATCATTCCATTTTACTAGAACTCTATGCATCAGAAAAAAATGAAGAACGTGAATAAACTATGATGTTCCTATGACCAGAAATGGCTTTTCAGCCACTCATTTAAAAAGCAACAACTAATTTTAAGGTGACACATCACGACATGTATATTCAAGTGGGAGTCATTTTTCAAAGTAGTCAGTTTGAAATCTGGCCTTTTGAAAGTGTCGCTCAGGCCTACAGAATACTCATGCATTCACTCAGCAAGCATTCATACATGTACCAAGAACCTTTCTACTCACCGAGGTTATAGTGGGAATACAAGATCCTTACATCCCAGCAATAGGGAGAGGCCAAGTGCCATGGGAATCAGATTTGGGAGAATGCTATGGAAGGCTCTGTCACATGATAGCCATGTCACGTGGCTCTGTCACGTGATAGCCCGTGGCTGAGAATCATGAGGCTGGCCTTTGTATGGCTTACCAGCTGGTTGCAGACAGTTCCCTGGACACACAACTCACATGGCAGCCTCCTTGGGTGAGCCCTTGGACAAGCAGCTTTGTGTGTGTGTTTCTGATCTGGTGTTTGTGCCTTGTATGTGGTAGACACAGTATGTTGAGTGAATAAATTGGTTAAAATTTAAAATTAGTCATGTGTCCCATTTGTACTGCAGGTATCAGAAATCAGCTGCCAGGAAACTTTGGAAAAGTAAAGATGGACAACCTGGAGCAATGGCACCTTGTGTCCTTAGAGTAGTAATGCCATCCCCTTCCCTACAGGCAGTGAGTGGAGCGGGTAGTCCAGGGAGGGCTGGCTAGAGTGGGCTGGACCCAGTTCTCCCCACAGCATGGTGAGTGGCACAGACTGCCATTGGCTCACTCCTGAGAAAGGTGTATGTGTGTGTATGTATGATTTCTTATGTTGGCCCACGGTGTCTGTCACAAACAGACCTGCATGAGGAAGCAAGCAGCCCGTGAGCACCTGCCATTCTGACCTGGTCATCCTTTCCTGGAGGCCTTTGCCATGGCAGGGTGGTGCTTACACATGGTCTTTCCATGATGGGCTCATGTACCCAGCAACGGCGGCCATAGAGGATGAGACCTTGGACACTTCCAGTAACTTTCTGATTCAATAAACGAAAAGCTGTCACATGTGTTCTGTGTTTGCAATCTTTGAGTGGGTGTGCTTGCTTTTCCAAATCTGAGTTGGCCTCAGACGTTGGAGCTTAACATGGAAAGTAGGTCGGAGTCTGGGCAAAGGCATCTTCTGCCCCACCCTGGCCTTGAAATTCCTGGTGAATGGAGGACTTTTAAAAAATCATCGCATAGTCCATGCTCCAGTGAAGTGAGAATGGTTTAGAGAAAACCATGCCCACAGCCATCTGAGCATGAGCCGTGGGAACACCATCTTCTTTAAATAGCTCAGACGTTCCCTGAAAACTCTTTGGTACTTGCTTTCCATTTACTGACACTACATGAACAGCTTGACTCTGGAGCAAAACGGAGCCCTGAGTCAGTCTTGAGCTTTTCCCGATGTCTGAACCCCGGGCCCTGGTTCCCTCATGTGCACCAGCTGGCTGACTATGGCAAGAACCTATCAAGTTAGAAACACCACTATTGCCGTCAGTGAACGGTGCTGCACGGAGCTGATCTTTCTTGTGACTTCTTTTCCATGAAGATCAACGGACCCTCTTTTTTTTTTTGGTCTCATGCACCTTTGGCAATCCGACAAGACCCTTAGCCCCCTGCTCGGTGTTTTTAAAATGAATCAAATATGTAGGATTACCAAGGAAACCAATTCTATTGGTATATAATTCTCCAAATATTAAAAACGATTCATGAGCTAGCAATAACGTGTGCCTCTCTGTTGGCGCATTAAATAAAATCTACCAGCAGGCCTAAGGACAGCCTTTGTTTCTGGGTGGAGATGAGCACCCATGATATTCTGAGAGTCTGCAACAGATGTCACATGACGTGAAAATATCTGTCATTTCCACTGGTGACGAAGTCACAGGTCTTGCTAATTCATACTGGTGTGGCAGGTTATCTACATCCCTAACTGCGGGGAGGCCTACATTTTCGTTAGAAGTTAGGGGAGAGACGCCAGTTCCCCCCAGCCCAGTTCAGAGCTTCTGAAATCAGTGTATGGACCAGCTTGGGAGCCATATTTGTTGTTGTTGTTGTTGTTGTGTGTGTGTGTGTGTGTGTGTTTGGGGAAAAATCCCTTGTCAATCCCCCCCTGATCTCCACCAACCCATACCCATTGATACCAAAACTCACATTACTTCCTCTGATTCTTAAATTTTGGACATGAAGGGAACTCTTTTGGATTTGGGGGGGGTGGAAGGGACTTTTTTCCATTTGCCATCGATCTGCCCGTTAGCAACACGCCCGTTGAATATAAATACAAGCCATAAAAAAATGTGGGTGTAAAAAGGTTTTACCTGTGGAATATTTTCATACGAGAATGAAATTTCCATCACTGCATCTGGCTGGG